AAAAACATACAAAAATAATATGTTTTTTGTAAACTACAGCCGTAAATATGATAAAACACATTTTTTTTTATAGCAACATCAAAAATCTTACACATAAATTACATACTAGTACTACTTTCAAAATTTGTACATTTCTTATTCGCTTTAACCTGAAACATTTTTATAGCGTAACTTAAACATATGGATTAGAAGATGTGGTATGAGTGCCAATGAGGCAACTCTCTATCCAAGTCACAATGTATAAAAAGTTATAGGTAAAAGTACGGCCTTCAACACGGATCCTTGGCTCACACTGAACAGCAAGTTATAAAGGGCCCAAAATTACTAGTGTAAACAATTCAAACAGTAAAACCAACGGTCTAATCTATATAAAAAACGAGAAACGAGAAACACCTATGAACCACACCAACAAACGACAACCACTGAACAACAGGCTCCTGACTTAGGATAGGTGCATAAAAATGCGTTTTAATAGGCGCCAACCTTCACCCTAACATGTGACAGTAGTGTAACATTACAACATAAAAAGGCACACTATAAAATATCAATTGAAATGGCTTAACTCGATCAAAAAGACATTTAAACAAAAACAAGTAAACATACACTGATCTATGACACAATATAAATACAATATTAAAACGTAGGTGCCTATATAATATATACGTTACAAGTAGTAATAAAAAAAGATGTAGAAATTGTGTTAAATAAAACAACGTAACAGGTAAATTAAAATATAATAATTTTGTTGTTAGGAGTACGGAAGTAAGCATTTTTTACACATAAATAAATAAATTTGTTGTTGAAAGTACGAGTACAGAAGTGAAAATGTATCGTCAAACTAAATACTTATCAAAGGTGGTACATATTAAAAATAGTGAGACGAGATATAACACAAACTAAGTAAACATTCACAGATAGAAGGATCATTAAGATTATAATAAATATGTATCTTGTTGTATATAGATAAAACAATCTCTAAATAGAAAATGAACGTGGATGTGTATTTATACATCCCAAAAACCATTCGAAAAAAATACAAATTTGATTATATTTTAATTTGTTGATGCCAAATCGATGTTAGTGCCAATGTAAACAATATTCAAAGATATTATTACAATATTAATAAGATAAGCTTTACTAAGTTTGTTTGAAGGCTCGATGAGTTTACATGGATCACATAGTGATTTCCGCGCTTTTAGTACAATATTACCGTGAAATTTAGGATGTGAAATACCGGTTTTAATAGTTTTCTACAGGTACAGCTACATTTACTAATCAAATTTGTATCTATGAAAGAATTTAGAAAATGTTTTAAGTGATTTATGGTAACGAAATCCCTGACTTAATAATTTACCAGTCATGCATTGATTACGTTCCTTAAAATCTATGACATCACTACACACACGGGCATAACGAACGAGTTGGGATATATAAACACCGTATGATGGAGCCAAAGAAACATCGCTGTCTAAAAAAGGAAAATCAACAAAAGGAAATGAAAATCGTCTCTTTTGTCGTAAATTTTAGTATGGAGTTTCCCTTTAGAAATTGTAATGTCTAAATCTAGAAAAGGACTACCTAATACGTGTCGATACACGAAACGCCGAAACGAAAATTAATGTTGCCTAGGAGAAGATTTAAAGCTTCAATCATATCTTCACATTTCCAGTAAGTGTATCTAGCATACTTTCCTTTTTCGTTACAGAAAAACGAGTTACAGCAAATGAATTTACAATACGATTTTTCAAAAGACTATTTAATTAAATCTGAAAACTTTATCTTGATAAGATTGTGTTGAAGTGTAGTGTAGAGAGTAGAAAATCATAACTGTCAACAGAATTAAAGGACCATCAAAAGCACGTTTTTTATATAAAACCTCTAAAAAATTTTGAACACTCCAAAATATTTAATACCATTATTTTCATAATATTAATTACAAAAGTTTATAATAAATTATTTGATAGTAGTAAGGGAGGTAGGTAGAAGCACTGACAGATTAGTAGTAGAACATTTACTAGATGCGGAGATGAAACGAAATTAAAAAGGAAGTTTATGTAATTTAGGTACTTTCAAATGTTCGGAAGAGGCTTTTAGATATGTATTGGCAGTGATATGCGTGTTTACAATTTGATTCTATGTGGAGCGTACGGACCTGAATGTAGAAGAATTTATAATTTCGTTTTGGAGAACTTTCGTATAGTATATACGTCACACCACCACTACATTATTGGCTGCTTTGTCATGAACCCTATCATTAATTTCAGAATTGTTTTCAAAATGAGATAAACGACTATTAACAGTTTTCATAATTGTATTCAAATAACTGTCTAGGGATTTGTTATAAGATTTTTCACGTTTACACCAATGTTTACAGTAGGCAGACAGAGCGTCTTTAATGACCTGACGATACTGTTTCCAATTTATAATAGATGGAAGACGATATTTAGGTCCTTTCTTAAGAAAAGTTTTGATCTCACGTTCTTCAACGATGTTGAGGTCTTCTGTTATGACATGACCATAGGGAACATAGCTAAAACTAGATGTTTCATAGTCGCAAGTGGAAGGATCGTTATTTTCTATATTGACGTCTGATGTTACTGACGCATAATTAAAATTAAAACTTCTGCTGTTTTTTTTTGTACGAATACGAAATGATAGGTGATTCTGTATTATCAAAATATGGAGGTATTTGGCTATGGATGGTAGAGTCATTGAATCTACTAGATAAGTTAATAAAATCAATACCTCTATTTATATATTTTAATTTAAGAAAATGCCGTTGATGATTTTCAGGTTTATCGATACTAGTAAACAGCCTGTGATGACAAAAGGCTGTAATAATACGGGTGTATTTATACAACGGGCTGAAACATGAAATTTGATCACACTCCAGAAAAAAAATCATATAGTTTACTTATTGTTATATGACCAATTTTGCATAATAATTGATGTCTACCATTATTTTTTATTATAGATAACAGATCAGCAAGTATATAATTTATACGATGTTTTATACGTAAATTACAGTTCAGTCTTTCTGTTGTTCCGTTGTTTTCCTCTTATAGTTTAGGAACTACTTCTACCGTATATTACAGTTGAGCCCAGGATCGAACACCATTTCACTTGCAGTACCAATTAGGGCTCCCCAATCTAGTCCAGATCTGTTGAGTGTAGGAAGGTGTCAAGATTAAAATAGCGTGAAGACATTTTCAGGAAATACAAGTGAGAATCTAGTGGCAATGAATTATCTCCCCTGAGTAAAACAAATTTTATCTGCAACTTTTTTAATTGATTTTCATTGATCGATTTTTTTTTTAATCACATAGAATTATGTTAAAATTTTCAAATATATATTTAAACTCAAAATCTAAAAATGAAATATTCACATAATTACATTTTTTCTAATCGCGTTGAAGACCCTTTGGTGGCCTTAAATTGGTTGTTATCTGCTCTTTGGTCAGGTTGTTGTCTCTTTGACATATTCCCCATTTCCATTCCCAATTTCATTTGGTGATTAAATGTAGTCCAAATAATTATGATGTCTTGAAAGGCTATTTTATTGTTTTGTTGTGACGCCATGCTGTCACAGCGAAAAAAAATCAAATAGCCTTTAAGAAGTCATAATTATTTGGACTAGTGATGTTGCTGAATACAACTTTATTTTCACGCGGACAAAGTCAGTGTTTAAAATTTGTGAATAAGGATTATGATAATCTGATTTATAAACATAAATGAAAACTGGTTGGTTGAAGAAAAGAAAGTTTTTAGTCAATTTTCTTGGTAATAAATCTAAACAGCAACCTCCAATATTTAATCAGTCTAATAAGTTGCTGCATTCTACTTCATTGCAATTACTTTTTCTTGAACTTTAATATTGAAAATGGTGTTATAGATTATCTATGGTTTTTCAAACGAGAGGGTGTTTCTCAGCTACAATCTCATCGTAGGGCGAAAGCCCTGAGATGAGATGTGGATGAGAAACATCCTTGAGTTTGAAAGACCATTGATAATCTGTTTATTGCTATTTTGCCTATGAGGTCGTTCATGTTTACATTGACTACGTCACATGCGACTTAGTTTCTGACGATAATTTTCCATCTCAAGCGAGTAGCATAATATGAAAAATTATCACAAAATAAGATCAAAGGAAAAATGCACAAAATAGCGATTAATACAATTATAATTGCTCAGTTTAAAAAAAAATTTGAAAAAAACAACTAATTTGTCAAAAAGTACAATGTGTCTGGACTCAATCACTAATTTAGACAAAAAATTGAAATATGTTTTTTTCTGTTTCAAACATTTTTAAAAGTGGAATTTTGATACCAGATTTTGCTATAAGCAGTCAATTTGATTAAATTTTGAGAAAATAAACTTAAAAATATAGCTATGTATTATTGGCTTGCAAGTCAATAATTCAACCTCATTTGAATCCGTATTCATGCGACTTTCATTAATCCCTTAGCTGGAGATGGGTCATGCATGTGCTAATACATTGAAAAATGAAACAAGGGAGCCACCTGGATTAACCATTATGTTGACTGATACGACCAACAAAAAATATTCTAATACAACGGGTATAAACAAGGATTTTCATGATTTTACATATTTTATATTATCTATGACATGAAAGCAAACAGACCCAGAAAACTCTCATTATGAGATCTATTACATGTGCTTGTCTGTATATTTATATTTATGTATATTTGGGTCATTGACCATCAGCATTCCTCAAAGGTTAATTATATGGCATAGAGTCTAAAAATAAGTATATGAAACAATTCAATTGAGAAAATTAACGGCCTAATTTATAACAAAACAATTTACAAAAAACAAATATGACAAGACATGAACCAAGGACAACCACTGAACTACTGGCTCCTGACTTGGGACAGGCACATAAAGAATGAGGCTAAGACAGTTTGTCATAGGGCTATTCCAGGGGAAGATAGGGGCTGTGGATTAGACACCTCATGATTTTTTTTCTGTGGATAACAGTAGGGAAATCAAATGCAATTCTGATACAAATAAAAAATGTGTTGTCTACAACCTGTTTTTATATTACAGAAAATGGAATGTAAAGAAGGAAAGCGACAAAAAAGACCAACTATTGAATACTACCGTATACCTGGTAAGAAATCAAGCCTTCAGCTATGTAGTTTAAGTTTAAACCCTTTGATTATTAAAGGAGAAAGAATGTTAAGGCTACTTTCTTAGCCCTTTAAATTGAAAATAAAAAAGTATATTGAATCTATCTAATAACACTAAATCCTAATAGCCTAGGTGGATCTCTCATATTCTAAGGTAAAGATAAGCCTAAGTGGAACCAGGGATCGACTTAAGCACTGGCCCAAGGCCAGTAGAATTTCGATGGGCCAGTTGAACATAAAGACTACTGGCCCCATTGGCCATTACATTTGACTCTATTTTCACTTAGATAGTATTATTAGGGCAATTTTTATTTGAGTTGGGCCAGTAAATTTACGCTCTAACTGGCAATATTGGCCATACTTTTAAATTTTGTTAAGTCAACCTCTGTGGAACTCTCATATTCTAAGGTAAAGATAAGCCTAGGTGGAACTCTCATATTCTAAGGTATTGATAAGCCTAAGTGGAACTCTCATAATCTAAGGTAAAGATAAGCCTAGGTGGAACTCTCATAATCTAAGGTAAAGATAAGCCTAGGTGGAACTCTCATATTCTAAGGTAAAGATAAGCCTAGGTGGAACTCTCATATTCTAAAGTAAAGATAAGCCTAGGTGGAACTCTCATATTCTAAGGTAAAGATAAGCCTAGGTGGAACTCTCATATTCTAAGGTAAAGATAAGCCTAGGTGGAACTCTCATATTCTAAGGTAAAGATACCTTAAATTAAACTTTTCCATGTGAACATTTGAATTTTACAGACAAGTTTCAAGAATGGTTATTACTGTAACTGTTAGCTTTTATATTATTCATCGGACAAATTTCATCCTGGAGATAAACATGGGGAAAACCACTGTAAGACACAATAACTTTTGTGGTCGTGGTATTCAGAAGGTAGCAATTTTCATGAATTATTTGGTTAACTAAAACTACAATGGATATATATAATATTTCTTGAATTCATCCAATACAAGATTTGAGAAGGAATAATCTTACTAACTCATGAATTTTATTTTCATTAAAATGCATTGTTAAATGCAAAAACTTAAAAAATAAAAGTGTTTTTATACGTCCGTTTACGGGACGTATTATGGTATACCGTTGTCCGTCCGTCTGTCCGTCCGTCCGTCTGTCCGTCCGTCCGTCTGTCCGTCCGTCCGTCGTCAACATGTCGGTCATTAACTCAAAAATGCTTTAACCAATTTGCATAAAACTTTGGTGAATTGTTTATATCTATTGACATGAGCTCCCTTTCGTTTTTTATAAATTTAAGATTTTATGTTTCCGAGTTATTGGGTTTTATTCATTAAAAAAAGGGGGATTTTCCAGTTTTCTGACAATAACTCGAGAATGCTTTCACCAACTTGCAAGAAATTGTGGTGAATTGTTTATATCTATTGACATGAGTTCCCTTTTGATTTTTAAATATTTTAGATTTTACATTTCCAAGTTATGGGGTTTTATTCATTAAAAAAAGGGGGATTTTCTAGTTTTCAGACAAAAAATCAAAAATGCTTTCAGCAGTTCTTATGAAACTTTGGTGAATTGTTTATATCTATTGATGTAAGCTCCGTTTAAAATTTTATAAATTTTACATTTTACATTTCTGAGTTATGGGGTTTTATTCATTAAAAAAGGGGTGATTTTCCAGTTTTTGGACAATAACTCAAAAATGCTGTCAGAAATTCTCATGAAACTTTGGTGAATTATTTATATCTATTGATGTAAGCTCCCTTTACATTTTCATAAATTTTTAATATGACATTGAGAATTAATTGAACTTTAATTGTTTATAGTCTGACAACAGATTTACTAAGTATTGCGCAACAGCAAAGTGTAATGCACAACAGCAAGAAATCTTTAATTGAATGTAAATTCAATTCATATAACCAATTTCAAGTTCTTTGACTACATTTATTCAGAAACCTATAATATGTTAAATATTTAATACAATCCAAATTCAGACCTGTATCAAGCTTGAATATTGTGTCCATTTTTGTCCCAACTGTTCAGGGTTGGACCTTTGCGGGCGTATCCAGCTGCGCTCAGCGAAGCAGTTTATTTAGATTAAATAACATGCACTTAAATCAGGTTGTTGGTTTTCTTGTTTGAATTTTTTTTTACATATTTTCATGCCGAGGCTATTTAAAGCTTTTTATTTGGTATTGGTTTTGCTCATTGTTGAAGGCCATACAGTGACCTAGCTGTAGTTGCTAACATCTCTGTTATATGATGGATAGTTGTCTCATTGGCAATCATACCACATGTATCTTCTTATTTAAAATCTGTAAGCAAATGTGAGTTAATTAAAGAAGGAAACTAAAATTGCTTTCTATTATTAAAAAAGTTACTTTCACTGTATTTTGCAAAGTCATAGTATAAACCATACAATGAAATCTAAATATGTCTATTTATAGCATCAAGATCTAGTCGCACTGTTGCGTTAAAAGAGTCTGATGATGACAACAATAACATCAATGACCTGGTCATTAGAGTCGACAGAAATCTCTTTGAGAACACAAATGATAATTGTATAAATAGAAATATCAGAAAAAATCAAGATATTCCAGAAAAGCATGTTCAAAGCAGTAAGTAACATTACAGTAAACACAAGATGACTCAGTAAAACATCTCTCTTTTTGGTGTTAAGTATATCACTGGGGTGAAACCAAGTGATTGCTGGTGATTTTTGGTGAGAACACTATGAAGTTGTAATATGATATCTTTTAATATATACACGAAGATATTCCAAAGTGATTCTTCGAGCAAAAGTGTGATTTTTAGGCAAATAAACGTATGTACTGAACTATTGTACCCCGACAGACCCCACTCTTAGGTTCATTCAGTAGTAAAGTATCTTTAGACATCAATAACTTGTCAAACCTTCATATGTAATAGGAAACTGTAAAAAAATCTCTTAAATGGTCAAGAGAAAACATCCAGAGCTAAGTTTTTGAACACTGTTTTTTTCAATTTTTTGTTACATTATTTTACTGATTAAGGAATAAAACCACTAATTCATAACTCCATTGCTTTCTACGTTAAATTATGCAATTTCAAGCAGTCATAGCTGTTTTGTCTTAAGTTCAGACAAAGTGACAGTCATTTCATGTCAAAACTATACCTTATACTGACTTGTGCTAAAAAATTCAATATACCTTTAATTGCATATTAGAGCATATGGTTCCCGGAAAGTTGGTAGTACAAAAACAGGTACTTCTGATCTGAACATCAGGGTCGACTTAGATTTGATTAACTTTGGGTTACTCGGGTAAAACTTTTTACGTAACTGCCCAAGCGCACTAGACAGTTATATCGACCATTAACTTACAAGTAGATTTACTTTTATAAATTTTGACTTGGATGGAGAGTTGTCTCATTGGCACTCATACCACATCTTCTTATATCTATAAACTCTTCAAACCCTTCAAAATGGAGCATTACATAGGATTTTTTAATAGTACTGTTGAAAAATATTAAAATTCCCTCTTCAATAAACAAGTCCACGATAATGCCATTGCTATATAAATATGCTATTTTGCCGGCTTTTCTCAGAGACAGCAAAATAGCATATTTTCTAGTTTGCCGGCAGGGGCAAAATAGCCACTGCTTTATCAAATCGTACCAAATAGATGAAAACATTTTCATTTTGTATTGAATCAATTATTAACTGAGCTGCTTTTTTTATATTTTGGTTTTATAAAGTTGTTATTTTTGCCATTTGTTACCCAGTGTAAGATACAAGTAGCTTAAATTTGAAGATATTTTTTTTTCAGTTTTTACTTACTTCACTTGTTCTTCCATTTTGTTTTTTTACTCTACTCAACGAAACCTGCCTACGAGGTAGGTAGAACTCGATTCGGGTCAAAAGGTTAATTTGATGACGTTTTAGAGAAACTCTGCCCGTTCGATTTAAACTCTACTGACACGAGAAACCCGTGTTTATCAAATCGAAGTCAACCCAGGGCGCATATGCCCTCCTTTATTAATTTTATATTTTTGTTGTTATTATAACAAGCTTTCATCAAGGTTTCTACAGTGAGTCAAAGTCTTTAAGCTTTCATTTTATACCAAACTTACCCAAACATTTTACTTATTGACAAAGCTACAGCTATGACTAGGAACTGTTTTGTTTAAAATATGAACCACTTTCTTGTATGCTCTTTCAGACCAGGCCTGAATTAGTGGTTCTATACAGATAGGGACTTAAATATTTTGCAGTTAATCTTAAGATACAGTCTGAGTTACAGTTTTTAAACAACAATTACTTTGACAAACCTTCATGAATTTTTTTTTATAAAACTTGAATAAAAGCTTCTTCATGATCAGGAAAAAGCCTGTTTTTTTTTCTCCATTTGTCGGTATCTTTTTTTTTCATAAATGGACTTATTTAATTTTTTGCTCCTCCCAAAAAAATCCTGGAGATTAGATTGTGTGTGTTTGAAAACAAATGGTTATAGATTATAACTTGAGTATTGAGATAGAAGATAAAATAGAAGATCAAGGGAACGAAAAGAAGCCTATTGTTTTTTTGTTCAATAGATCAAAGGACAAGATCACTGTTTTCGAAAATAAAAAAAAAATAATGAAAAAATGGTTTCCTGATGGAAATATGAGTTTCCCTTGCTTGATTAGATTTAAACTTACACATATTGAAGATATATGAAAGGAGGAGATTCCTATTAATTTTGGGGTCAATAGTTCAAAGGTCAAGAACACTGTTACTTTTGGAAAAAAAAATCAGGATTCAGGATGGTAATTTGGAGTTTCCTTACTTGATTGGAATGAAACTTATATAAATAGAAGATATAGGGAATGGGAAGATGCCTATTTTTTTTTGGGGTCAATTACAAACACAAAAACTTTTAGTTTATTTAGATATGCATATATTTCTATATCCACTAGATCATAGATATTGGATTTAAAATAAGATACAGTATTACAAATTCAAATTTTAAGGGTCGAATTTGGACCTCCATGACCCTACTCTTTAATTGTTGCTTCAGTACAAAAATGTATCTCCTTTGAAAATTATAAAAAAAAAACAGTGTTCTTTTAATTTAAGTTAGAATATTGGTAACACTTTTCATATCAGCACTTTGCATAAAATTTGTCATTATTTTATGAATTTAATTAACAAGGTGTTGATGCCACACTCTTTTGATTGCAGATAGCACCTTGCAGACCGAAAAGAAGAACATTGACCCTAGGACAAAAATAAAATTTAGATTGTTTGATGTTGCCTACCTACCCACCTTAAAAGCAGCCTACATGAACAATTTTATAACACAAATCATTTCAATGATTTTTTTTAAAGATATTTTCCTGCTCTAACGTTGTTTTCTTGTTTAAACATGTAACTTATATCGTTGGCAAAAAAATCCCTACCTACCTACCCAACCCTACAAGGCATGGGTAGGCAACATCAAACAAAGAATTTTTTAAGGGTTGCCCTATGTGTTTTACTATGTATATAATTATGACACTTTCAATAATCAATAATAGAAATGTCATTAGATGCAATATAAAGATAAGGAGAGGTGGTATGATTGCCAATGAGACAAATTTTCATCAGAGACCAAATATTAATAATGTGAACAACTACAGGTCAGTATACAACCCTGAACAATGAGTAAAACACATACTGTATAGTATAGCCATATGAGACAAACACGTACTGTATAGTATAGCCATATGAGACTCCAGGGATGATGAAATGTGAAACAATTCAAAAGAGAAAACCAAATGCCTGATTTACATGTATCATTATTTATGCTATTGCTAAACAGAAATGATGTCAAACAACCACCCACAGGATAACAGGCTCCTGGCAGGCTCATGAAGAATGTGGTGTAAGGGTTACAACTTATTTTACCTTAAAGTTGTGGTCACATCAGTTTGAAACTTAGAACACATGTACACTTACTACATTATGGTGTGAACTTTTAGAAATACATTGTTTATGCCAAATAAGGGTTTCGATTGAATTTTATAAGTGCACTGATATGATAATTTTGGTGGGCATGGTATCCTATGGGCACAAATCCTTGTTTTATATTTTATAGATAGACAACATAGCAATGACCAGAGGGCAGAAAAAGACTTAGATCATGGTCATATAAGTGTTAGCAACATCAGCTCCGATGAATCACCAACAAAGGCATCCACACCACACAGACAGATTAGTGTTGATTTAAGTTCTTTGAAGAATGTAGTACATAGACATATTAATGTAGAAATATTAAGTCACAGGTTACAAAGACAGATACGAGTAAATAAGTTTTTATCATGTCACAAGCCATCAGAAGTCAGGGTACTTTTCAAAGCTTACAGAAATCAAGGTTTGCTATTAATAATTGTAACAATAAAGTTATATGTGAAATTATATTTATTTATAGATTATCGATGGTATATCAAACTAAAAGGTGTTTCTCAGCTACAATTTCTCTGACGGGAGACAGCCGTGAGGTGAGATGTAGCTGAGAAACATCCTTCAGTTTGAAAGACCATTAATAATCTGTTTATTACCGTTTTCCTAGGCAACATCAATGGAGTAGACTTTTGATGTCATGCATTCTCTTTCTACTTGACAAATGAAAAAAACCCACATCACTGAAGTAATGTGATATAAAAATTATCACCAAAAAAGAAATCAAAGCAAAATTGGAGAAAATAGCAATAAATTTATAATGTATTCAAGTAAAACATAGTAACCTAAGAGAATTCAGGAAAAAAAACTTACAGATGTTTCCTTATAACTATTGTTGACCATTGATGGGTCAGATAATATTTCCTTTTATTCCATATTTATAAAGATGAATGTTAACACTTCATTTACAATTTAGATATAAGCAATAAATTAGGGGTGAGCTAAAACATACCAAAAATATGTATGGAAGATTTTGATAAGATATTTTGAAACATAATGTTCCTTGATGCATACTTATAGATTTTTTATATTTTTGCAGCCTTTTAGAATTAAGAATGAAACCTGATCTAAAAAGAGATTTGGGTAAACATCAATAAGACCAAAATAAATCATAAATAGTTTACAAAAAAGACAATTAAAAGAGTGGTGGAAGTTACCAAACTCGTAAGTCGATGACAAAATGACAACGTCATGGCATAAAAAGAATTACCAAAAGACAAACAACACTATATAAAACAAGAGATAGAAAACTAAAGACTAAGCAACATGAACCCTAAAGGTCACAATAAGGTCTTTAACGATGGGGACTAGCTTAAAGTATAGACTAAATAACTGACACCAGAGCCATATTATTTTATGTATTTGACTTTATGATGATAATTTCAGAATGTTCCAAAGAGGAATACTTGAACATTTTAAAGATTATCTTGAAAGATGTATTGACTGGCAGAGATATATTACTTGGTGCAGAATTCTGCAGTATTTTGTTAGTTTCTTATCTTCATAACATAGCAGGGGTTGAATTGAATTAGGTCTGATGGCCTGAACTGTCGGACTTTGTGGTAAAAAAAACTCTAAGACGATGGCTTCCCTGGCTATTATGACACAAGTGGGAGATCTTCGTATTAAATATCAATAAAAACTTGTCTGTAGTTATTTATGTCTTTATATTATTCACTTACACCATGGACACAGGTTTGTTAATGTTTGCCTTAAACAAATGTTATGAAACTTATACACAATGCTTATTACCACATAACACAGATTAAGATTGAATTTTGGTGGCGTCACTTTTACCGTTCTAGAGTTATGCCCCTTTACAAATGAAAAAATTGCCTTATTTTTCGTTTCCGTTTTCTTACTTAAGTTTGCCTCAACCAAATGTTATGAAACTTATACACAATGCTTATTACCACAAAACTCAAATCAGGAACAAATTTGGGTAGCGTCACTTTTACTGTTCTTGATTTATGTCTTTTTATAACGTTTTATGCAAGCGGGGGGCATCATCTGTGTTCCATGGACACATTCCCCATTTATTGGACCAGTGTCATATGGAAAATTGAACCCCCTGAAATTTGAACCCGGGGTCAATGGAAAATTGAACTTCAGTCTGGGATCAAAATCCCATATGGAAAATTGAACCCCCTGTATATCCTTTAAATGAATGTCAAATGTCCATTAGGATAAGCATTATAACTCTATAAAGTAGTTTGTATTGCTATAACAATTTGAAAATCTGAGGTCTGTAGAGGGGGGTTCAATTTTCTATGGCTAAATAAAAAAAAATTTAAATATTTTTTAAGATGTTTTATTCCAACCAAGTACTTATTAATGCATTATTACTATTTAACATAGCTGGAATAGCTATGACAATTTGAAAATCTGAGGTCTTTAGGGGGGTTCAGTTTTTATGGTAGGGGGTTCAATTTTCCATGGCTGAGTATAAATGTTTAAAAATATTTTTATGCCCCCGCCGTAGCAGAGGGGGCATTAAGTTTTACCCTTGTCTGTCTGTACGTACGTACGTACGTCCCAAAATTGGTTTCCGTTCTCTAACTTTAGTTTGCCTCAACCAAATGTTATGAAACTTATACACAATGCTTATTATCACAAAACACAGATCAAGTTTGAATTTTGGTGGCGTCACTTTAACCGTTCTAGAGTTATGCCCCTTTAGAAATGGAAAAATTGCTAAATTTTTATTTTCTTCTAAATATCAAGTTATTTTTTAAATTGGAGTTATCTTTCTTTTTCCATGATTATAGTTGATTCAACTACAATCAATGCTTTATACAATGCAATGTTTAATTTTGACTTCCACTGATAAAACACAGATCAAGTTGAATTTGGGTAGTGTCACTTTAACCATTATTGAGTTATGCCCCTTTATAAATCGAACGATTGCAAAATTTTTAGTTTCCATTCTGTAACTTAAGTTTGCCCCAACCAAACATTATGAAACCTATACACAATATTCATTACCACAAAACTAAGATCAAGTACAATTTTTTTGTGTCTGTTTTCTAACTTTAGTTTGCCTTAACCAAATGTTATGAAACTTATACACAATGCTTATTACTACATAATACGGATTAAGTACGAAATTTGGTGGCAATACTTTTACCATTCTTGAGTTATGTCCCTTCATAAACATAAAAATTGCTGAATTTTTCGTTTTCGTTCTCTAACTTTAGTTTGTCTCAACCAAATGTTATAAAACTTACACGCAGTGCTTATTACCACAAAACTCAGATCAAGTTCAAATTTGGGAAGCGTCACTTTTACCGTTCAGTTATGTCCCTTTATAACTATATGATATGCAAGCGGGGGCATCATCTGTGTCCACATGTGTCCACTATCCACATTTATCTAACATGTTTTATTCCTACCAATTACTTATTAACGCATTATTACAATGTAACACACCTGGAATAGCTATGACAATTTGAAATTCTGAATTCTTGCGTGGGGGGGGGGGGGGGGGGGGTCAGTTTTCAATGGAAATTAAGGGGTTCAATTTTCCATGGCTGAGTAAAAATGTTTGAAAAATATTTTCTAACATGTTTTATTCCTACCAAGTACTTATATATTTTAGAAAATATTTTTAAACATTTGTACTCAGCCATGGAAAATTGAACCCCCTTCAATGGAAAACTGAATCCCCCTGTATAGATCTCAGATTTTCAAATTTATATTTATTCCAGCTATGTTATATAGTTAGAATGCATTAATAAGTACTTGGTTGGAATAAAACATGTTAGAAAATATTTTAAAATTTTTTTACCCCCTACCATGGAAAACTGCCCCCCCTAATAGACCTCAGATTTTTAAATTGTCATAGCTGTTCAAGCTATGTTACATAGAAATAATGCATTAATGAATACTTGGTATGAATAAACATATTAGAAATGATGTTGAAACATTTTTACTTAGCCATGGAAAATTGAACCCCCCATCAGATATCAGATTATCAAGTTATAGCAGCATTTTAAAACAACTTATACCATTATGTTATGTTCTAATTAGTTTTTTGATTGAATAAATAAGGGGGTTCAATTTTCCAAACAGGTGGGGGGGGGGGGGGGGGGGGGGGGTTAATTTTAGAAAAATTACCCTGGGGTGACACAGGCTGAAATTAGAAAAATAAAGAAATTAGTAATCATCTACAAAATTAAAAAAAAAATACATTTAAAATTGTTTTTGAAACAACTCCGCCTATTGAAACTAAACTTGTTTTAAATGTGATCATCAAGGCAACAAAGTAGACACTCATACCTCAGTGATATGTACAGATCTCTAGTTAAACACAAAGTAGACACTCATACCTCAGTGATATGTACAGATCTCTAGTTAAACACACACAAAGAAGACACTCATACCTCAGTGATATATACAGATCTCTAGTTAAACACAAAGTAGACACTCATACCTTAGTGATGTGTACAGATCTCTAGTTAAACACAAAGTAGACACTTATACCTCAGTGATATGTACAGATCTCTAGTAAAACACAAAGTAGACACTTATACCTCAGTGATATGTACAGATCTCTAGTTAAACAAAAAGTAGACACTAATACCTCAGTGATATGTACAGATTTCTAGTTAAACACAAAGTAGACACTCATACCTCAGTGATATATACAGATCTCTAGTTAAACACAAAGTAGACACTCATACCTCAGTGATGTGTACAGATCTCTAGTTAAACACAAAGTAGACACTCATATTTCTACAGATCTCTAGTTAAACACAAAGTAGACACTTATACATCAGTGATATGAACAGATCTCTAGTAAAACACAAAGTAGACACTTATACCTCAGTGATATGTACAGATCGCTAGTTAAACACAAAGTAGACACTAATACCTCAGTGATATGTACAGATTTCTAGTTAAACACAAAGTAGACACTTATACCTCAGTGATATGTACAGATCTCTAGTTAAACACAAAGTAGACACTTATACCTCAGTGATATGTACAGATCTCTAGTTAAACACAAAGTAGACACTTATACCTCAGTGATATGTACAGATCTCTAGTTAAACACAAAGTAGACACTTATACCTCAGTGATATGTACAGATCTCTAGTTAAACACAAAGTACACTCATACTTCTACAGATCTCTAGTTAAACACAAAGTAGACACTTATACCTCAGTGATATGAACAGATCTCTAGTTAAACACAAAGTAGACACTAATACCTCAGTGATATGTACAGATCTCTAGTTAAACACAAAGTAGACACTAATACCTCAGTGATATATACAGATTTCTAGTTAAACACAAAGTAGACACTCATACCTCAGTGATAAATACAGATCTCTAGTTAAACACAAAGTAGACACTCAAACCTCAGTGATGTGTACAGATCTCTAGTAAAACACAAAGTAGACACTCATACTTCTACAGATTTCTAGTTAAACACAAAGTAGACACTTATACCTCAGTGATATGTACAGATCTCTAGTTAAACACAAAGTAGACACTTATACATCAGTGATATGTACAGATCTTTAGTTAAACACAAAGTAGACACTTATACCTCAATGATATGTACAAATCTCTACTTAAACACAAAGTAGACACTCATACATCAGTGATATGTACAGATCTCTAGTTAAATATAAAGTAGACATTTATACCACAGTGATATGTATAGATCTCAAGTTAAACAAAAAGTAAACACTGATACCTCAGTGATATGTTCAGATCTCTAGTTAAACACAAAGTAGACACTCATACCTCAGTGATATATACAGATTTCTTGTTAAACACAAAGTAGACAGTTATACCTCAGTGATATGAATAGATCTCTAGTTAAACACAAAGTAAACACTTATACCTCAGTGAAATGTACAGATCTCTAGTTAAACACAAAGTAGACACTAATACCTCAGTGATATGTACAGATTTCTAGTTAAACACAAAGTAGACACTTACACCTCTGTGATATGTACAGATTTCTAGTTTAACACAAAGTAGACACTCATACCTCAGTGATATGTACCGAGATCTCTAGTTAAACACAAAGTAGACTTTTATACCTCAGTGATATGTACAGATCTCTAGTTAAACACAAAGTAGACCCTTATACCTCAGTGATATGTACAGATCTCTAGTTAAACACAAAGTAGACACTCATACCTTAGTGATATGTACAGATTTCTAGTTAAACACAAAGTAGACACTAATACCTCTACAGATTTCTAGTTAAACACAAAGTAGACACTCATACCTCAGTGATATGTACAGATCTCTAGTTAAACACAAAGTAGACACTTATACATCAGTGATATGTACGGATCTCTAGTTAAACTCAAAGTAGACAGTTATACCTCAGTGGTATGTACAGATATCTAGTTAAACACAAAGTAGACAGTTATACCTCAGTGATATGTACAGATCTCTAGTTAAACACAAAGTAGACACTTATACATCAGTGATATATACAGATCTCTAGTTAAACACAAAGTAGACACTTATGCATCAGTGATATGTACAGATTTCTAGTTAAACACAAAGTAGACACTAATACCTCAGTGATATGTACAGATCTCTAGTTAAACACAAAGTAGACACTCATACCTCAGTGATATGTACGGATCTCTAGTTAAACTCAAAGTAGACACTTATACCTCAGTGATATGTACAGATATCTAGTTAAACTCAAAGTAGACACTTATACCTCATTGATATGTACAGATATCTAGTTAAACACAAATTACATTAAACACTTTTCCATTTATAGTATTTATGTAAACATCTTACCACATTTTCACTTTTTTTTTGCATTTTAGAAAGATGTTTGCAAAGAAAAGGGTGAGAGACTTTGTATCCAGACACTTCTAATTGGACTAGAAGATCTGGTAAGGGATTACACAAATCCTTGTGTCAGTGAAGAAATATGGAAGAAGTTTATGACTTTCTTAGTAGAACTTTTCTTTCTTATTGAGGAAGAAATCAGCATTTGTTCTCTTTATTTGCTACCATTGATATCACATGCTTTAATATTACTAGTTTGTTTGTCAAGAGCTTTTAGGTTTTATTATTTTATTTTATTGTGTTTTTCTTAAAAAATACAAAAGCAATTTGTTTTATTCTAGTTGTAACATTGTCATTACATTTTATGTTTAAATCATGATTTTACAAATTATGAAAATCTTTCTAACTTAAAAAAACATAAGAATGTTTGAACATTAAAGCATAGTGCATTACAATTTTTATCAATATTAATAATATTTGAAAATTTTCAGAATCATTATAGTAGATTTTTATAATTAAAAAGTAAAACTGTTTCAAGAGTCAATTTCAATATTTTTTTTTCTATTATTTTTAATCGTTACAAGATTCAATTTCGCGCATCATTGATTTGATTTAAAGCTTCAGAATTGATAAAGTACATTAAATGTACAAAAACAAAATTAATGATGACTATTTTTTTTTTTTTTTTTTTTAAAGTCTATTCAATAGGAAAATGCATTCATTGTTTAAATGATCATGCTATTATGAGAATTAGTGTGAAAGATTTTTAATTTTTTAAAGTGTCTAAAAATGTATTTTTGTCTCATCTATGATGAAAGTTGAGGAAGTCTTAGTGCTGTTTATGACATGGAAAGCATCAACAAATATTAAATTTGTAATAAGGTCATACAGGAAACATATAACTGAATGTTAGCAGTTTATTTTTTTAAATCAAGGAGACATTTATGTAAGTTTAAGTAATCAGAAAAAAAACAAAATCATCAAAATGTCAATAATGTTATCTATTTGAAGGGAAAGATTAAATATTCAATCAAAATCTATAAAATTTATCACTTATATTAGTCACTGATATAAGTATTAACTGTTCTTAATCAATTGATCTTACATCAGTCTCTTGTTTATGCTGTATTTTTTTTTTTAAATGTCAACTGATATTGATCTACAATCTAACTTTTAACTATATCAATTACATACCTACCTTTGTAAATTTGTCCAAAAAGAATACAAATTAAGGATGGTCGCTACTCTTGTTTTTGACTTTTTTTTCAGATATTCGGGATTGTCTAGTTTTATCCATGTAGTGCCAATAAAAGTTTTGTCCGCTAACCCTTACTTTTCTTTTCATAATTTTTATAATAAATAGTTTAAAACTCCATTTTTTAAAAATCTTATGAAATCCTTGTTATTTTTTCATTGTTTTTGAAAGAAAAAAGGTGCCAATGTTAAATGTATGAAAAATCTAGAGAGAATCACTTCCCGCCAAATTTTCAATTGATATTATTTTGAAACAGAGGAGCTAACAACCTTAAGCTAACATTAGTTGACCATTAAACACTATACCTTAAATCTTACTTAGTATTGTTGTTTTAAAATTATGTAAGTTTAAACAAAAACATTTTATTTAAAAAAAAAGAATAGCCATTGAAGTGTCCCAACAAAAAAATGATCAGGTTTAATTATTGTAAATTGGAGGTAAAGTCAGCTGAACATAACTCAGAGAAAAACTATTACATAAAAACAATATTTGAAAAATACTGCTTGTTTGAATTTGTGATGCTGATTTGGTTGAATTGGTGATATGACACTTGAAGTTTGCAGCTTCACTAAAGCAGTTTTGATTTTAATATCTGGTAACGGTTTGAAAATATATTTGAACTGACCGGTTGCAAGAAAATGAGAAAACTCCTGTCAAGGTTTGGTGTCATTAAACTGTTAATTTATAAAATACTTAAGAAATTTCTTTTTAGGCAGATCTTAAGATTCATGTGTTAAATGCCCAGTGGGTGATTTTTAATTTAATTTTGTGTCTCGTGTATATATTTGTGTAAGTACACTTGACACCAGTTCTGGTGTTTTTGTTGTTTGAAAAGAATGTATATTTAGCTCACATGGCCTAAAAAGCCATGTGAGCTTTTGCTATCACTTGGCGTCTGTCGTTATCGTCCATTGTACCTTGTCATAAACTGTTTAAAAATCTTCTTCTCTGAAACTTCTAGGTCAAATGAAATCAAACTTTACCTGAATGTTTCTTATGGTATCTTCTTTAAAATAAATATCCCAGAATTTGATTCATTAACAAACATGTCTGCTGTTGCTTAAAATAAAACATGCAGGTAAAATGCAGTGTTTGGCTTATATTTCAAAAACTAAAGCAGATAGAGCAAATCTAACTGTGGTAAAAATGATCAGCAGGTCATGCTCTAACTACAGAATTTAGAAAAATCGGGACAACCCATTTTTGAGTTATTGCTCAAAGAATCTTTTGATAGTAAAAATGTTTTACAAAATATTATGATCTAGGTGAAAGGTCAAGTTCATATAATCAGTCTGAATCAGTTGACAGACTGACATTTGTGCTAAATATTTTCCAAGTGTAATATTTTGAACCATTGGTTCAACTTATACCAGACCATGTTTGATTATGTCCCATGTAAAGGTTTCAGGAAGATATCTTCGAACAATATGTCCAATCTCCACAAAACATAGCTTGAAAGTAAAGCATGGAAAAAAATGCTGTTGATGTTTTGGTAACTAGGTTTAAGGTCACAGTACCTATGAAAAGACTTACATTTTGGGAAAGGTTTTGTTGCCAGAATATATTTTATGAGCCGTCAATCAGACTTTTACCAAACTTTATTAGTTAATATGCCTATGGTTGAAAAAAACCCCTATCGATTTTGAGGTCAAAAATCAGGGTCACAATAGCAATTGATATAAAAAAATATACTGAAATTTAGTCAAATGTTTGTTTTCCACATGTCAAACTTCAAAAATTCCTACACATTTGAACTAGGGATATAAATCAATGATGCTCCTGGAATTTTTGTTTTCAAATAATTTTATGCATTCCCTATAGCAAAACATGAATTTTGCTATATTTACAAAAGATACCAGGCTTGTAATTTGTAACACCAGAGCTACAGTTGGAAGTTGCCAGACACGTGTTTCATCGACATCAGACCCCGTCAGTGGCTCTCAATCACATCAATTGGAAGGCCAAAACAAATACGAAGTTTCATGGTTAAGTGACTGCTTGAAATAAACAAAACTTTTCTAGTGAAATACTCACTTTGATATTGCAACGTCCACATGTCCGTCAGGGAGGGTTCATCTCCCCCGCCCTCATTTCATGGATCAGTGATCAAGGTTAAAGTTGCGTGGTCAAGTCCGTATTTTAGATACTATACATATTAGGTCAACTATATTTGGTGTATGGAATGATTGTAAGGTGTACATGTCCAACTAGCAGGTTTCATCTTACTATACCCTAATTTTCATGGTTCATTGGACAAATGTTTAGTTTTTGTGGTTTAGACTATTTCTCGGATACTATAAACAATAGATCAATTACCATGATGTATGGAGTGATTGTAAGGTGTACATGTCTATCTGGCAGGTTTCATATGACTTTGACCTTATTTTCATGGTTCATTGGTCAATGATAAGTTTTTGCAGTTTTAGCAGTTTGTCAGATATTATAAGCAATAGGTCAACTATATTTGGTATATGGAATGATTGTAAGGTGTACATGTCTGTCTGGCAGGTTTCATATGACCTTGACCTAATTTTCATTGTTCATTGGTCAATATTAAGATTTTGTAGTTTGATCTGTTTTATCAGGTACTACAAGTGGTAGGACCACTATATCTGGTGTACTGAATGATTGTAAGGTGTACATGTCTGTCTGGCATGGTTCATCTGACCGTTACATCATTTTCATACAACCTTGATCTTGTTAAGTATATGTGATACTTGTAGTAAAACCTTCATATTACAAACTTTCAACATAAATTCAATCATATGAATCCAGCCGAGACAATTCAGCGTGTGCACTCTTGTGATGAGTGACGTTGCTGATAAAAAAAAATAAAAGAAAATGTCTTTCAAAGCGTCTAACGGTAGCACAAGCAGGTGGAATGTGTTAAGTGCCAGTCTGCCTAAGGATCAGGCAGTGACCAAAACATGATAGTCTCAGATTTTGATGAAAACTTGCACAAATCATCTGAATAACAAGTTATAAAGAAAAAAATACTTTTCGGACCAATTACATATGGTTGCTATGGAAACAGAGCCATTTCATTTTTCCAAAGAACGAATAATTGAAATTTGCATAAAACTGACAGTTTTTCACTATTTCAGTCTCATAAAAACTGCTCTTCATATAAAATGTAGTATTTCTCTATTGTACTGCAACTTTTTCAACTATCAAATATTCTTGAAGAACAGCTGTTTTGATGAAATTCTATTTCATTCATGAAATTTTGGGGTACAGATGGTCTCCATGGACAATAATGTCCAAAAAAGCCAAAAAAGGCCAGAAACCAAGTTCAAATATTTTCTATTACCAGAACAGCATATACATGGTGTTACTTAATATGGAACAAGTAGTGGTCATACTTTCATTATTTCATAAAAGCTCGGTGGGTTTTTTCCAAATATTGAGTAACCATAGCAACAAAGTTAACCCTATAGCAACAAAGCTAAAAAAACAAATTGTAACAAATGTATTCAATATTAAAGACTAAATACATATAAATGGACTAAATATGATTTATTTAAGCATGTTAAGCTAGTCTCATTCCAGTGTTGTCAATTTTTCTAGTTTTTTTCCGGAAAATATTACATAGCAACCGAAAATTGTCATTAGCAACCAAAATGAACAAACTTAAATTTTTTTGTTTTTTTTATACAAAAATATTCTCCAGTGCAAAAAGCGACAATAAAGTGGTCAGATATCCATCATTTCGATATAAAATCAGTAAATTCAACAATATCTACATTTCATTAGCAACAACTTAAACCCCCTAGTAACAAAATAGATTCTTTCAAAAGTTTCACATTTTTGGTGTGAGTTTACTTCTTATACTAGATTCATATTGGTTTGAGACATATCATTATAGTTACTGACACTATCATGCTTTAAAATTTGTATTACAACCTGGTGGGTTTTTTTAAACAAGGGATATGCATAACAACGAATAAATTCTCCTTAGCAACAGTGAAGTATGCATATTCCACATTCTTTCTATCAAATTATAGGCTATTATTTAAATTATACATTTTTTTATGTTAAATGCTTCAATATTGAATTGCTATTAATAATTGAAAACTAACCGGAACTACAAAACTTCAACGTTGACCTTTGAATCATGAAAATGAGGTAAAGGTCAGATAACACCAAATTCATAGACATATACACCTTGCAATCGTTCTATACACCAACCTATTGCTTACAGCACTCGAACAACAGACCAAAACACAATTTTTTTTTTCACTAATGAACCCTGAAAATGAGGTCAATGTCATATGAAGCCTGCCAGACTGACATGTACTTATAATTATTCCATAAACCAAATAAAGTTATTTATTGCATAAAGTACTTGTTAGAAGAACCAAAAACACAAAAACTTATCATTGATCACTAATGAACCATGAAAATAGGGACAAGGTCAGATGGAACCTGCCAGATCTAGACAGACATCTATCCCTTACAATCATTCCATACACCACACATACCGGTAGTTGACGAACTGCTTATATAAGAGAAATGAACATATTCATGCATGTAACTTTCACCTTGATCACTGATCCATGAAATGAGGTTGAGGTCAGGTGAACCCTGTCTGACTGCAATGGAGACGTAGCAAGTAACCAATATACCAAATATAGTTATCCTAATATTATTCATAATAAGTGAGAAATTCGCATGACCAAATAACTAAAAAAAAAAATTTGAGCAGTCACTGAACCATGAAAATGAGGACCAGGATTTTGACATATGACAGATGGAAACTTTGTAACATAAGGTATCTGCTAACAAGCTCTTCTTATTTATATTACGAATCCAGGACTTCTACAGTTCTACCCTCTAAAATATAATAGTTGACCCTACCACCGTCGGATAGTAATGCCTTTGTCTTGCATACTGTGACACTGCAAGACGAAATGTAAGTCATAAAAACATGTAACATTTTTCAAAAAGAAAACAGTAAAATGCACCAATTATTGCATTCATTTATTATAATATTTTTAAAAGTATCTGACCAAATTAGAGATTTATTTATGCTAATAAAGGAAAAGCTCTTCCAAATTCTGATTTCAGAATGCAAGTTCTTATCATTGAGATACTCAACCAATCTCAACATTCAAATGCTTTCAAAAACTTCTGTCACATACATGTAATTCCTGAATTTACAATTTTCAGATTATTCAGAGTCTTCTTATATTTATCATGTCTTATTATTTTACATGTATCTGTCATTCAGGTTTTGTATATCTGTTCTTGAGGTTCAAACATGGCTATAAAATTTCCCAACAAATAGAGACTAAGTTGTCATCCTTCACTTCAGAAATATTGGTCAGTTTGAAGGCACGCTATTTACTTATGTCCATTTGCTACAAACATTTTGATCTTCCTACTCAAGTGCGCAATATTGGCATCACAATATGTTGAGCCTCATTGAACTGTAGTTGAATCTTTTAATCATCAATCCTGCAATCATATGAAATTTCAGTAAAAATCAAAATAAATATAATAGCAATTCATTTACAGTTCATGTTGTTAATTTCAAGTTCAATATATCACTTTGGTTGAATGAAATGTAAATGATTGAAGTTTAAAAAAGGAACACTAAGGAAACGACCATTAATTTTAGTACATGTATGTGAACAAGCGGACCAATATATAAATTTATGTGCAAGTCCCAGGTGGAACATTGTTTGTTTTTTTTTTTTGCTTACCAGTGATTTTGCAATCACTTGTCATTTTTCCCTTTAGAAATGTCAAAAGTATTTCTCTAAAATATAGTAAAAGTTTAAAAAATAAACTTGACACAGTCTATATGTTAATTTGGTAGAAAATATTAAATGATGAAATCAAATAGTTATACTCTGAAATGTTTAAATATGCCAAATATTCAAAGTGAATGAACCCTTACTAAAAATGTCAGTAGAAGTATAAGAAATGCCATCAATGCTAAATACAACTGTATACCAAATAAGAGGGTGGTAATGGGGGTACCAGTCTATCATTAAGATTAAGGGTAAGAATTCTTGCCAAAGGGCGCTAACGGTAATTTTTGGTCTATGACGATAAAATGTACACTTTCTTTTTAACTGTAAAGAAATCGACTGATTTTGACGAATCATGTTAACTTTTTCTCCAAAATTAACAGTGAGGATAAATTTTTGAGGTCTCTGACGAATCACAATAACTTTAGGATATTTTGACAAATCACGGTAAAATTTTAACCAATTTGACGCTTACGGTAGCCTTAAATGACCGTTTGACGCCTGACAATACAGGGCATTCCTACCCTCAAATAAAACTAACTTATCATAAGTGGTTCTTTGTTAACTGATTTACATGAAATCACACACTTTAAAATGAAAACTAGTTGCTAAAATGATAAAATCAATAGACCATGACCAAGGGTCGAAGTAAGGGCCAAGGGGGCAGGGCCAAATAATCTCCATAGATATAAGATGCATCAAATTGAATGCTTATACAACTTTATATATCAAATATTATTTATTTACCATTAGTAGTTCCACTTAAACTGACCTAATTAAAAAATTTTAAACACCAATATGTTTTTGAGTAGGGAAAGGAAATGCATGATTTTTTTACAAGTAAAAAGACTCTTGATGTTGTTGACAATACATGTGTAGGTGATCTCTGCATAATTCTTGTTTAGCATTGTCAATATTTTACCCAAGTAGCACCACCAGAAAATGTACATGTAGGTCATATTGACCTAGTTCTTGTTGTGACATATATACATGTATATCTATATAATAAGATGAATTAACCACTTGCTCAAAACAGAACCAGCAAAAATCATTTTGTTAATCAGCATTTGCATACTGACGGGAAAATCTATGATAATGAACTGTCCCGTTGTGGATGGGTATGACAAAAACATCTTGTAGCTGAAGTAATTCTCATTTATTTCTTAAATCACAAAATCGTTTAAAAAAAATATTTCACCGAAAAAAATGGGCCCACTAGCATGACTAGTGGAGATGGGTTGAAGTAAACATTCTATCACTCAAATTTACTGGTATACATAAAAAATATCTAAATTCAAATAATTTGTACCTGTGCAATTCAATAGTCTTCTGTAAACAGTTCTTTCAAATATCAAAGGTATGTGTCTTAACAAATCACCTTTGCAATTCAGCAAATCCCTGAAGATAAAGTTCAAATTTGTCAATAAGTCTGATAAAAATATATATACATGTACATGAATATGAATGAAGGAATGAATTTATTTATACAATACAAATTTCTTTGTAGCTCTTACTTCAGACCAATCTAATAAGTTGCAAATAACATTAACTAAGAAAATTATTTCCATAAGTACAAGTTATGCAGAATATGTTTTAACCCCTGAAAGCTAGCTATATATAGAGTTTCAAGGGTTCTGGATTAAAACATTTTAGTAGATCAAAAATTATAAGTAAGGTAATGGGCCTAAGGCAGACCAAAAATATGTATGTGTTTAAAGTACTAAAAATACTGACCCTATATTTTATGATTAAACATGCCTAAAGTACACTGGAAAGTTTTTCTTAGTCATTTTTTAATAGCCTGATAAAAACAACATATTCCTTACATTAAGCCGATAAGGTACAGTTATATCATCAAAATAGTTCCGTAAATTGTTGAAGGCCTATTTGAGAAAAAAATAGTTGTTCCTTTGATAACCTTACCTATACATAAACATTTCTGTAAGTTTTTAACGAGCCCTATTTATATTGCGTCAAATTATTTCCCCTTTTTAAACCAGTCAAAAACTTAAAAAAAAAAAATCATTTTCGTACCTATCTAACCTAATAATTTTCAGTTGTAAGTCTATTTTTTTTAGGTCTAATTGCATCATTATCAGGGTTGGCAAAAACCCGGGTTTTATGAGTATTGCCAAGCCCAGTGGGAAATACTGGGAAAACCCGGGTTTAACCGGGTAATACTGGGTAATATGAAATACTGGCCTGAATTTCAAAGAGGATTCAGTGATTATTCACAAATGCAATACATTAAAGTTGAAGAATTCAATTTGTTTTTTTTAAATAAATATAACTAATATTAAGAATTAACAATTCTATCTAAGGAAAATTACTTTTAAACATGTTTTGTTCATTACTAAATATGCTTACTAAGTTTTAGCAATTGTTTATGTACATCACTAATCAATAAGTAATTATTCAGATTATAATACAGATTTGCTTATTTAACAATAATCAGCCTTTTGATTTCTATAAGTGTTCATGGCCTGTCCCCTTCAGGTGTTTATTAAGCAATATGATTGTATAACAATTAAAATTTACAATTCACTTAAACACTGCAAGAAAATGCATTTTTTCAACTTGGATTTAATATTGAAACAAAGCTTGGAAATTAACAAGGTATCCTGAAATGTCCAAAACTTGTATTCTGCCTACATAGAATTAGTGGAGAAAAGGAAGAAATTGAATTTTCAATCATCAGGAATGACTCGCAATGGTTATCTGTATAAAATGTATATATTTAGCTTTAAACCATTGTCGTGACGTCAGCCTATTCATTTACCGTGGATTCTTTTTCTAGAATCAACGCTTCCTAAACCTGTCGCTGAAATGGACTCACCAAATTATATTCAATTGTTTCCTTTGTGTGCCTAATTTCATTAAGTTTGAATTGGCTAATTTACTGATTTCTGTTCACTAATGGAATTAATTTAAAAACTTACTTGTAATTTTTGTAATTTCTAGATGCCTTCGCTGGGAATGGAACCCGTCCTTGAAATCTGTTATGTGAGACTGACATCAACATATCGACGAAACCTCTCGGCTACCAATGGGTTACAATTTAAATGTCTATTATATGTATATAAATGAACATATGAAACACATCGGTACAACGGACACACAGGACTTGTACCTTTATATATACATAATAGGCAATCGTATAGTATAAGTTGGTAGCCGCGAGGTTAGCATGGTTAAGATCAATGACTTGTCGATTAAGGTTCGAATCCCTGTATTCTCTTTGTTGTCCCTATTCTTAAGTTTTCTTGTTTTTTTTTTCCTTCTTTTTTTTTTGTATGTTATTGTGGATATTTTTGTAATAATAGCAAGTTTTACCGTTTATTTTTGGATTATTATTTGCTATTTCACATATTAGAAACGAAAATAATTACATTCTATTTGTCCATTTTTGTTTTATGAATATAGTATGATTTCATCTGTTTTACTACATAATTTTACAAATTTTTATTCGCAAATTCCTATGCGATAAAATCGTGATGTGCCTAGAATTATGCTTCTTGCTAGAAATTTCGGTAACATACTTATTATATATACTTTATATATGCTCTTTGGTCGGGTTGTTGTCTCTTTGACACATTCCCCATTTCCATTCTCAATTTTATTAGAAATAAGTTCGAATATGTCTTGTTTTGTAAAAACAGATAATATTCAGATGCCTGATAATATAAAGATCTTTAAAGGCAGACGTGTTGTGTTATATTTGTATTTTTTAACCAATTAATTGTGATCTTAGATTTATCAATGCATCATTGGACACGATAGCATGGTTATTTAAACTCACTTACAATACCTTCTAATTAAGAAAAGGCTTTAATTTTGAAAAGACATTAACACAATAGTTTAAGTTATAGATACAATGGATAAGCGTTGATTCATGAAAAACAAACCATTCGCCCTCCGGGCTCATGGTTTCTTTTTCAAGAATCAACGCTTATCCATTGTATCTATATAACATAATACTATTAAACTACAACAAGTCTTTACTATTTTGTGTATAAGCTTGAAAAATCATATTACCCAGTATTGTCCAGAATTACCCGTTTCTAGGAGTATTGCCCAGCCCGGGAAAACCCGGGTTTTCCCGCCCGGGTAATACTTTGCCAACCCTGGTCATTATGTACATGTATGAAACTTAAACATTAATTTTGTTATAGAAATACATGTGCACCTTTCTTTGGAAGGGCAATAGTACATTTTGCAGGGCCAGGGGTCTCCTTCAGTTTAGAACAAACTCATATTTTTGGCATTATCACCATTTTTTTTTATACATTCTTTATAAAATGTGAGAAAAAAAAAGTTTACTTCTTTTCAATCTTTAATTATCTAACAGAAAAAAATCTGCCAAAAACAAAAAATATGAGTCTGATAATGAGCCCCCCTTTTATATTCATGTTGAACCTAAACCATTTTCAATATTTTACAGTAAAATATATAATGGGGGAGGAGAATGGTGTATGACCAAAATTATCTTTTGAATATATAATAATATGTAAATAGTGTACCTTGTGTTTAGAACCTAGAAAAAGGCCCTGCTCATCTGGATTGGCACTGCTCTGCCTGGCTTTGATCTTTCCTTTGTGAGACGGTTGTGCAAAACCAACATTCCTTCTCTTAATCTCATGCATATTCCTAGGGTTTGTTGGTGTTTTGGACAAACAAAGTATGAATGTTCATGTAAGTGGGAAAAGATCCCAATATAATTTGTAAAAAGTCAATTTTCCCTCCGACTTGATTTTTGTCTAATTTTGAATATTTTAATCCTAGGGAAGTGGTTCAACAATTCTATTACATTGTCCAATAACCGTGTTGTCTTTTCATCCTTAGAATACTGTGAATTCCCTCATTCATCGTCAGATAAGATTGAAAAACTACAGTTCAACATCATGCATGCATGACATCAGTATTGTTTACATCAAAAGAGTTCTGTTAGGGGAAGTAACTCTGTAAATTGTGTTCTTTCATGAACAAAGCAACAGAATCTTTGGAATGGAATTTTGACCAGTAGACAAAAAAACCCACCAGACGAAGGCTTAAACCTGAAATTTCTATTTGCTTGGTATTTATATTTGCAATCATTGTGATTGTACGGGTCTGGTAATAAAAAATATTTTGAATTGAAATTGCCTGAATTTACATAGGTTAATAGTAAAACATATAGAACTTCGAAGTGCTAATACATAATACTGCAATTGATTTTCTAAAATTTGATTATACAGTTCTATTTGGATTAACTAAAGGTAACATATTTTGCATATGAGATGAATATTTGAAATATGTCATGTTTTGATTTTTTTAGAATTTGCCTGATTCTTAGACAGACTGGCACTTAAGACTTGATTATGAGAAAGGAGTCAACATAACCAACCAAGATAAATCTTCTAAAACAGTTGACTACTGTAAATTCAGATATTATTGCGTGCATTTATTATTGCGATTTTGCCAATTTAGACCAAAGTGCGATTATTATTTGGGTACCTGTAAAGTGCGAAACGAAATAGAAACGGAACGGAACAAAACAAAACGAATCGAAACGAAACGAAATAGCGCAAAACGAAACGAAATAAATATTTTTTTTAGAATTTCAACTTAAATGTCCCCGCTTAATGTCTTTATATGTACCAATTTGTCTTTATATGTACCAATTTATACAGAAAGACAGTGTGAACTGATATATATGGGTCCGAAAAGTGGGATTATCGGGATATGATCGAGTGGTTTGAATGTTTTTCTGTGGACTGTTTTTGTGTGAGCAGGTTTACACTCGGCTTATATTTACATGTAAAGAACATTACACATAGTAATATTGGTTTATTTGTTGTCGTGAACATGAAATATTGGCTCTCTGGTTGATTTTAAGCCGCGAGTCACCCATATCGAACGAAAGCTTTAATAATAGATCATTGTTTACGCTTTATTTCGCTGTCAGGTCTAGGTATGGAAGTGTAAACCTAGGTTGGTTACAAGTGTTGGCTGTCTTCTCAGGTGAATTGGAGGTTGGGGGATAACTACAGTTTGTTTATGTGAGGAAAATTCTGGGCATTTTTGTGAGTTTCAAGAAATTTCGGGTTGGCATTGGTCTTTCGGATCTGCAATGGTCTTGAAAGCAGATTTCGGGTAGCCTTTTTGTCAGAATGTCAGATTTCGGGTACGTGTTTTGTAATTCTATGCAAATTCCCTTTTGTCACATTTTTGTCCAAGTAAAATTGTATTGGATTTATGTCAACTTAAATTTGGATAATTTAGGGTATGATCTGTTTATTTTCTTGATACTTAAGGGTCTCTTGAATATGCAAATGCTGGATAATTTCTGATCTTTTTAGTGAACTCAATCGGAGAATTTCGGGTCGGGTTTTACAATTTCAATCAATTAAGGATTTTACTGTATGCCATGGATGCTATCCTCAGTGAGATCAACTTCTCCGCTATGCACGTGAAAATAAGCAGAAATTGCTAAAATTCCGAAAAAAATAAAGCCCATTGAAGTGGAATTCATCTTGGGTTTAATCTCCTTTCCTCCGCCGAGTGTGCGTACACTTAGAATTCTTACTGAATATAGCTATTGTACAGTCAGTTGGTGAAAAAATGCGGTTTAGGAACATGTGAGTAGCCATAATCAACATTTTGTAACCATTTAACTGCATACTTTTCTTTGCTCTTAAAAGAATGGTTACATTTTAATGAAATTTCATGTTGCATTTCTGTGATGTATATAATATACACCATTTAGCAACGTGTCGACCACACTAACATACTTTTCAGTGATATTTTTCAACTTAGTAAGGCAATAACGAGCAGGTCATCTATACATATTCCATAGTTGATACAACCTCGGAGTTAAGTAAGATAGTAACTTTATAAGTGGTTGTTCTTTTGTTTTTGGCTCAGACTGCTAAATACGAATATAACTTTGTAAAGGAGATAGATGCACCAGATAAGTTTTATGAGAATTCTTCAGGTATTTCCTGTCTTTTTGTATTACGACTTTAATATTGGTACGGATATTTCATTGTTTTCTAGCAATGAGCAATTTAATATGCATGTCCTATACTTTAATTCTCAATATTTTGGGGGTGAAACCGTAGATTTTTTTATAAGGTCAAATTCAATTATTTATTTTCATTCTGTGTTTAATTTGGGTGCAACAGTACGTGAATGTAAATTCTTGGGTGGAAGGGCAAAGAGAAGGGGGATTATAAGTGGCACGATCATATCTATTTATATCCCAGGTAAATCCGCAAATGATAAAAAAAACTTCCCCAACGTTTAGCCCAAAACTATTAATTTTCAATAATATTAGGATTGAAATAGTTTGCTTCAAATCTTTCAAGCTACTCTCATTGAATGAAGGTTATTTCTCAATCACGGGGACTGGGGGTCGATCTATACCTGGGATTTTGAGTATTGTAGTGCAGCTGGGAAAACACCCAAATTTTATAAATTAAAACCTTGAGAAAAAATCACGACACTTAATATGTTTCCGATGGCAAAATCATGACCCATTCATAGATTTCTCAGTAAAAACATATTATACAATAAAAATAAGAAGATGTGGTATGAGTGCCAATGAGACAACTCTCCATCCAAGTACAAGATCTGATATCTTAATTTGAATAAAAAACGATAAAACAGCATTTAAACAAATCTATTGTAATTCAGAGGATAAAAATTACTGACCCATTGATATTTGACCTTAGTGAAATTCAGTGTATGGCATTAATATAATTTAATTATAAAAAGGAGACCCATTCCAGCGGCTTGTCTGTGTATACCTTCCTTTTGTCATATATATAGAACCCCAAAGCAAGATTGAGACCCACGTCAGTGTCCTCAATATCCCAGTTCTGAAATATAGCCCCATTTATATTATTTATCTCAGCCCTTTTTCTTTCTAGGGTAATATTTTACTGTAAAAATTTTATTCATTCAAAACGACGTGTGAAAACTTAACACTAAGGCAGTAAGCACCGGTATGTACGATTGTTGCGATTACAACCCTGTCGCATTTTTCGCAATAATTTCCGAATTTACAGTAATTAATTCTTTGAACACAAAAGATTCTCGGTGTTACAAGATATTTTTATTCATGGTAGATCCAAATTCATATAAGATTGAGCTGAAATTAAATTGCTCCAATATTGAATTTGTGAAGATTGCATAGTGTTGTACCATATCTGTCGAGCATATTTTGAACAGCAAATGCATATTGTGCGTCTTTACACTGCTGGAACATGGAAACACAGTTTTTTAGGCTGTCCACAAACCTGTAATTCAAAATGAAGAATTCCCAGTACATTTAATCAGATCATATAATATATGTCTCTGTTTAGGTTTTATCGGTTTGTCATGCAGCCATCAATGATGAAAGAAAATTTTTAATATCAAATTTGCAGACTACTATTGATTTTTGTTTCGCTTGATTTTCGTAGGGGTTAGAATTAAATTAAATCTCAGTAGAAGAGACACGAGCTCCCAAAAGAATATCGTACTGTTTCAGATTATGAGGAATTTCTCTTTGGTTTAGACATATGACCATACTAATCATTGGTAAACTCCACATGGACATCCACGGTAGCGGACGTTAATCTTAAACAAACTAACATTATAACAAAAATAGAATAGTGCTATTATGAAAATTGGAAAATACAATTACGGATCCTAAAGCGTTTTTAAAAACTGAAGAAAAATTATCTACCACAAAATATGTCATTAATTTACAAATATTTAAAAAAAAGATTGACAACAAATGGCAAACATTTCTATGAAAGGAATTGTTGAAATACAAATTTAATCGTAAATCATTGATAGAATACACTAGTAAAACTTACCCACACGTATTTGGACTATAGCCTGTAAAAGAACCTTGGACACATTTCACGAATTTTGTTCTGAACTCTGGGTCATTGTAGCATGGTGTTAAAACTTGAATGTCTGAAATGTTCAAATCATTGTTTGTATAGAATAAACTCATTGCTAGATGCTTTATAATATATAGTAGAAAATATAAGTTTCATGACCTTCACATTTCAATGTCATATGATTATACACGGCTTAAGCAGTCAGGATTCTTTTTCCCCATTTCGCCACCTAATTTTTATAATCGTAAAATTTTAACTGTAACATAGACTATTTCAATTTTATACGATTATCTAATGCAAGTGATATACTTACATCTTTTATACTGAACACAAACAGCTGTTTCTATTTCAGCCATCATGTCAATAACAAAATGCATATCTTTACACTTATCCGCCTCCTTACAAATGGTTTTTGTCTTCAAATGTCTGCAATGCAATATACAATATTAACGTATAAATCTATAGAATATGAGAGCGCAATGATTCTGTAAATCATTTTTTTTTGCGGATACTTCATTTCGGGTTTAGCCCTTTCTATCCGACTTCACGGATATTTATTTTTCGCGATTTTCTTATTCCATTGAAGATCCAAGTTTTAAACATTCGCTTTATTGTCCTATTCACGAATGTCACGAACAAAAATCGCTCTCGAAAATTAGTTGTTTCACAGTAGTTGTAATCTTCTACTTCCATATCTGTCTGTGGTTGAAAACTGTAATACTATGTTAACCTAGAGGTCAATTTTTTATTGTTGTTTGGGCGCTTACTCATTTACGTATACCGCACATATCCTTTAATTTATTAACTTTTTCATCCGGTGTTAAGGTAATATTTTGCACTGATATTGGTATTTACAATTA